TTGTTCAGTGTAGGGTTCCTCATAAGAAAACATACTGTAAGAATCGCAACTGACCCCATTAGCGGCAGCCATCTGCACTATGACCTGAATGGCAGTCGAATTGAAGTAGCGTCCATCTCCACCCACCACCACAGAGGAGCCCTGCCTGTCCCGCAGGTCGATGGAGGAGAAGATGCATTGAATGAAGTTGTGCAGGTAGTTTTTTTCAGACTGGAAAACATGGGTCTTCTTCCTCAGGCCGTTGGTTCCAGGCCTCTGGTCAGGGTACGGAGAAGTAGGCAAAGTCAGCACTTGCAAGGGACTATCGTTCATTGCTCCAGTCCGTTGAGGAAGAATGAAGGAGAAGCTGTTAGCTCCTCTCAGAGGAGAGAGAGAGAGAGAGAGAGAGAGAGAGTGACTGGGACGGGAGGAGAAGGAGGAAAATCCTTGTGCCCTTATGGCATTCCCCAGAGTTGGATTGAGGCCGTTAACAGGCTAAAAATAAACTTGGTAACCGAAGACAGCTTCTCACACATGTGCATGGAGATCACTGTCAGACAAGCTCGCCTCCAGAGGCCTGTTGAGGCAGATGCATAAGATGACCAGCGAGGCCTCATTTATGTGCGGTATTTACTCAGCATTTACTCAGAAGCTAAATAGAGCTGATGCTGAGTGAATAAGCCCGGGATGATCTGCCTGTAAACGCTACGTGAGTTGTTTTGACATATGCTAAATCTCCCAGGATCATTCAAGATCCATGGCTAATGAACAACGTGCCATATAGCTTGATAACTGGGTGGCGTTTGGGGGCAGTATAAGAGTGGTTTGGGTTTTGACTGCAGCACCTCTACAATCCTTAAGGATGAAATTTCTGCGTTGATGTGTTGATCGTAACAGGTGGTTTAGCTGGCTCCAGAATGAACCGAATAAAAAAAGACCCAGGGAAGTTCTTACTGCAACAAGACCAGGTCAGTTGGGAAAAGAAAGGAAAAAAGATCTTTCAGATACAAAAAAAGGCTCACACTGTTGATTTTCTGTTTTTACAGTGATAATGTATTTGCTCTTGGCAGATAAATTTGCTACGCTGCTGTTGCTACAGAGCAAGTACGGAGAATTGCTAATGCCAATGCATCCCCAGACAAGCTGCTATGAGCACGCAAGACATACTGCTGCCACACAAATGTCAAATTTGACAAAAGTTACCTATAGTAGATCTAGACAGGTGGAGCTGGGGGAGGTAGAGGGTTTCTGACAGTGTGCTGCAAGACTTGATTACAACAAACACTGAACCAAACTTTTTATGCCATGTAGTGATGATGTGATTCCTAGCAGGACCTATCAGATGCACCATCTAGAGTTTCATGACTGAACTAGTTTTGTGTCCCCATTTTTTTTTTATTACTGATTAACAGGATACTGAAGTTGGTCACATTTGATTAAATTTTACTGATTTCTTCTGAATATCAGCACATATACCACACATTTTGATGTGTTATATAAAATAAAATATAAAATAATCGGTAACACTTTAGTTTAGGGACAAATTCTCACTATTAACTAGTTGCCTATTAGCACACTAGTATATTGGCTGTTTATTAGTCATTATAAAGCACATATTAATGTATAATTCTGCACAACCATATTTTAGATCTCTTAACCCTAAACTTAACAACTAACTTAAGTATTAATAAGCAGCAGATTAGGAGTTTATTGAGGCAAAGTTCATAGTTAATAGATAGTTAATAGTGGTCTCCAAACTAAAGTGTGACCAATGAATCCAATTCTGTCTTTTTTATGGAAATAAAATATGCTTTAACTTTATTAGTTTCTGTCCTATTCTCAATTTTAATTTCTTGTCTCTACATGATCTCTTTAGCTGTTTGGCAGTCTGGAAAGGAAAACCGTTCATCTTAGTGCTCCAACTGGCCAGGTTTTATGATCATGATTCCATCTTTTAGCATTGGTGCCTGTGGTTAAAGTTGTACCAAATACAGTTCTTTCATGGATGTTGGCTTTGTGAAGTCCTCTGTGGTTATTTTTGTGGAAACAAGGTGAATATTCAGGTTGCCGTCCCTTTTGCTGCAATATTTCTGTTGTTTGGACACAATTCTTCTTAATGTTTAGCATTCCTATCATTCACTTGTGTTTTTCACCCACTATTCTTCTTCTCTAATGAAGTCTTGCCATGCTTTGTGCACGTAGTAATAATCGTACAGACTGTTGCTCTTAAAACAATTGGGCTGTTAACTGACAGATACTCCTGCTAAACGGGTACCTTTTGGGAGTCTCACAAGTCACCCGAGTCTACATGATCTCTTTAGCTGTTTGGCAGTCTGGAAAGGAAAACCGTTCATCTTAGTGCTCCAACTGGCCAGGTTTTATGATCATGATTCCATCTTTTAGCATTGGTGCCTGTGGTTAAAGTTGTACCAAATACAGTTCTTTCATGGATGTTGGCTTTGTGAAGTCCTCTGTGGTTATTTTTGTGGAAACAAGGTGAATATTCAGGTTGCCGTCCCTTTTGCTGCAATATTTCTGTTGTTTGGACACAATTCTTCTTAATGTTTAGCATTCCTATCATTCACTTGAGTTTTTCACCCACTATTCTTCTTCTCTAATGAAGTCTTGCCATGCTTTGTGCACGTAGTAATAATCGTAAAGACTGTTGCTCTTAAAACAATTGGGCTGTTAACTGACAGATACTCCTGCTAAACGGGTACCTTTTGGGAGTCTCACAAGTCACCCGAATGCTTGCACTAAACAACACTGCTGAACACAACTTATACCACACTGATACAGTGTTGCCAACTAATTTTCAGGGGAAGTTGCTAAAGGAAGGTTGATTTGTTGCTAAAAGTTGCTAAATGATGTTGTGATGTCATTGAGGGATGACGTCATTACGTAATCACGATGCAAAATTGTCAAATCTCAGTAAAAACATATATTTTTATATGTTCATTTAGATTTGTTCGTAATAATATAAATGCATAATATAATATTAAAATATAAATAAATTTTTTTAAATACACTGAATTATCGAAAGCTTACATTTTTGAACGATTACAATTTAAGTTTTTTTTATTATTATTATTAGCTAGTAAACAAGTAAAACTACAAATTCTGAACAATTACACTTTTAAGCAGTGTATTGGTATAGTTAGTTAGTATGCTACACTCTAAGAAAAGAAAAAAAATAGTACATAATCTACTATTTTAATATGAAGGAATTTTCTGTATTGATTTTTCCACAGGTTCTTTTTTTACCTGCATTTTTAATTATGCATTTTCGGGTTACAACGGATAGTGTCCTGGAAAATTACTAGCACCTTTTGCATTTTTCTACATATTTGTCTTACAGTGTAACACTGTAAGACAAATATGTCGAAAAATGCAAAAGGTGGCGAAAAAATGGAAAAACAACCTGCGATTGTTAATGAGTTAGTAACTAACTCATCAACAATCGCAGGTACAAGCTACTAACAAAGTGTCTCATAAATGAACAATAACAGTATTCAATTATGAAATTATTATTATTACTATTAAATTAAACAATTGCAAATTGCATCTAACTTAATTCCTGTGATGTGTGTACCTGCAAAGCATCTTTGGATTTTCTCTTTTTGTGTAATTTAAATGGTAAATTGTGCCTTTTTATTGTTTGAGTCACTTATCAAAAGTTGCTAAAAGTTGCCAAATTAGTTTTATAAATAGCTTAATTTGTTGCTAGGTGCTTTTGGAAGAAAAAGTTGCTAGGGTAGTCTGAATTTAGCAACAAAATTGCTAAGTTAGCAACACTGCACTGATATACAAGCTAGAGAATATACACAGCAAAACATTATATAAGTTCGGTCACATGGTTGAAACAGAAGTAGGTTTTTCTTATAGTCATTAATATTCATTGTATTTACACACATTAGCTCTGTTGTAGGATACAACCATAAAGATCCATTTACAGAAAAAAACTTTTGTTCTTGGCACATGCACAGCTCTCCGTGGTGTGTGTATGACAATTACAACCTTGGTAGGCCTACCTACATGAGGAAAAGGAAAGCCTCTGGAAAATATGATTTCCCTCATTGTAGTCTTTTTAAATGATAAAAAAACAATCATTTATCATTTTGTAAATATTTATGTTGCCCAAATGGCACCAATTTGCATGTAGAGTTAACACAGCTCTACTGGATGTACTGTTTTACTGAACTTTAATTGAAAATGACTGCAATTATTGGCAGTGCTCAACAGAGGGCGATGCTGCATCAGCTATGAACATCATTGCTATTGCTCTCTCTCTCTCTCTCTCTCTTTCACTATGTATGTTTTCTGATTTCATTGCTTCTTTTTTTTACCATTTATTACATAAGATGTTAGAAATTCAGCAAATGATGAGCCATCTGATCATTTTAAATACATGTTTATAAAACGGAGAGTTCCGGTCCTTGATTCTGATTGGTTGAGCCAAGTTCGAAGCTGTTGTAAATTACTCTACAAAGGTACACCTTTGTTTACTTCTGTGTGATGCTCGGCGACCCGTTTGTTGGAACCACAACATTTTCTGAGGAACTACTTTGTTTGGCTGAAGAATAATGTTTTTATTAATATCATTAGACTTTATTTGCTCTGTTTTATTTTGTGAAACCTTACTACGTATATGGAATAACCGTTTTATAAAAGCAATAAACCCCTTGAAGCTGTGGTTTACAGTGAACTCCGCTTCGCGTCGTGCCTAACAACGCCCCTTAGTGGTTATAAATCCACTGTAAAGCACGGCTTCTTGGGGCTTATTTCTTTATTAAATGAAATGTAGAATTTAATGTTAACAAAATAATGAATAAAAATATATGTACTGGAAGTAGTGCAAAAATAGCAAAAGCTGTACAACTTGAGGTCAATGTGACTTATTTAAACACATGGCTGAAAGTGTCTCTCAGAAGGTTAAATGGGAGGTTTCCTGGTTGGACTCATTACAATGTAATTAAGATGACTGGTGGAGAAACTGAATCATGTGGAGCTCACTGGACTAATCACAGTGTAAATGTCCCATTTTTACCGCATCATACTGATAGGTTCATACTCATCAATGGGAACTTTGTCATGTCCATGAAACGGTGAAACCAAGATGCAATTGTTCAGCATGAATGCAATCATATGTGCTTCTGCTCATACTGTTGATATTACGGGGTTTGTGGCTTTGTGAGATGACTAATGGAGATTTTTGAGGCCTTGAAGCTGGTGGTTCCCTTGCCAGGTTTCCAGTGGGTTCCCTTTTTACGAGGTCTGCTCTGAATACACTTGCCATTCAGGTTAATGTCGCCGCAAATGCTAAACCACCACCCACCTAAAGGAAACAGAGAGAGAAGAATAATTTACTTTGCAATTTCCAAGCACACTATTATTCAAAAGCACTGGGATTACCTCAAAACTAGGTATTTACAACAAAGTCGCTACTTGATGTATTAGTTTTGCACAGAAACACTCAATGAAAAGGTCTGCTTATGATCGCATGTACCTGTGTAGTCTTGAGCACAGTTTAGATCACGGTTTCCATCGTTGTGGTCTTTAGTGGAGAACCTGAAGCCACTGTGTTGATCCAGAGCAGAGCTGGATTCACCGGTCTGCAGCTTCAGATGGATGGTGTAGTTGAAGGCAGCGTCCTCCAGGATATACTGATAAAGCATAAAATGCTTCTCCTTCCTCCAGTCCTCAATCTGGACATGCAGGAGCGAGTGTCCCTGATGGGCAACAGCATAGATCTTCTTTAGCCCCAGCCAGAACTCACCTACAAAACACAGACATCTGAGACATCCAGCTCTCTGTATAATAGTATTATAAATCACTTAATATTACATTGGAGTACTGTGGCAGTCCAATATCATAATATACAGGTGTATGGTATAATATAATTAACAGTAGTTCAGATTATTTGATAAACATCACTCTTTTTAGTAGACTGTAAAAATGTTTTGTCAAAAAAAAGACTATTGGAGAACCTTAGATTTTTTTTCTTTCTTTTAAAATTTTATATATATATATATTTGTTTTTTTTTTACCATTAGTTTCACGTTTCACTAGTTAAATGCTTGTTTAGCTTATTTTCACTGACCTTCAAAAGTACAGATTTTTTTTTAAAAGATTTTTTATTTTTATTATTATTATTTTTTTATATTATTGTTATGTCTTACCACTAGTTTCACTAGTTAAGGGTAAATGCTTGTTTAAATTTTAAGTAAAATATTTTAGAATATTTAATATTAATTGCAGGGAACACAGACACTGAGTAATTTTTTGCAATACTAGCAGAATTTCAGTATATGAATTCCAAATAGCCTACTCTGACACAAGGCTGTAACCACATGCGTGACCAGATACTTATATTTTTTAATAATGTTATCTGAAAGCAATGTGGTGAAAAATAAAAAGGAAATATGGCTGTGCTAATTTGACACTGCTTACCTTAGTTTAGAGAAAGATTTCCATCCAGATGTTTAAAAAGAATTATACACATTCAAAAAATTGAAATATCGTGTTGTAAATATGAATGCTTTTTCTAAAACTTGGACTGAAGAAATTCCTCTCTCATGTTATTGTTGAATTTTAGGAATTGTTGAACTCTTCCCTGCCTCTTTAAATTCCAATTCAACATGTGGCCAACACCTGGCTAATTCAGTTCAAATTCACTATCATGAATTGAAAAAGAGTCAGTTCTTAAATCGTCAACCCTGGAATGTGAATAAATGACCTACATATAAATCATCTTGCTTAATTACATTTGAGGATTTTCTGTTTCTATCCAAGACATCCAAAACGTTACAGATCTTGCCTTACCTTGAGCGTGGAGATTTCAACCACCTGCTCAGCTGAGAGCAAACTCTGGGACAGACCGCTTAACGTCTCCTCCAAGCCTCCCACCTGCCTCCTCAGATGCTTCCTCTCTTTTATGATATCTTCCACTTTGGAGTTGATCTCCAGTGACAGACTCTTTATTTCCTCATTATTTGCCTTTAAGATCACGGTGGTCTTCTTCAGTTCCTCCTCCTCCTCCTTGATCTCACTGGCCAGCACAGAAAGTTGGTAGAAGGATTTGTCAAAGATATTGAGCTTTTGGAAAATATCTTTGATTTGACTCTTGGTATTCTGCACAAAGTCCCTCAGGCTATGGCCCAGCTGTAGAAGGCCATTTGCCAAAAGCCGAACTTCATCCAGAGCAGCAAAGCGTAAGCGGCTCTCTGTCTGATGTTCAGGAAAGGTGGGTTCTGTAGGGAAGGAATGAGTTGATGCCAGAAGGAGCAACAGCACAAGCAGTTTCATGGCTGCTTCTTTAGAGTAAGACTGCTATGGGGCTCACATTGAGAAGCCCACAGTTTTGAACTTCTTTTACGGGCCTCCTCCTGTTAATCATTAAGCAGGGTGATGGTGACCTGATCTAGACTTTTATAAATCCCAGCGCTCAAATATTACAACGTTTCAGCTATATTCACAGCTCACAACATCATGCAACATTCAGTTTTAGGATCAGTCAAAATGATCTGTGAAGATAAATGACCAGTAAGACTGACCATGATAAAAAAAAAATCTTCAAAATTCATAAATGTTCTATTTGTATTATTGGATTTAATTTCCAAAAATGTTCAATTTAATGCCTCTCATGTGGTGTAACCATGAAGTAAAATGCATATTTTCCTCACATTTGAATACTTGAACTTAAAAAAAAATGCTTTCATTAAAATATTACAATATTACAAATATTAAATACATTAATAATATATATTTTTTTAAATAAAATGATTTTTTATAAATAGCATTAATTTATCATTCATAAATATTATTAAAGATTTATTATTAAAGTAGACCCCATGATATTTTATAATCTGAACTAAACTTGTCTTATTATAAAATGGTCAAATTATTTGATAGGTTAAAAGACCTTGACCTCCGCTGCACCTCATGACTCTTGATTTGGTGATTGTTTTTCAAATATTAATAAGCAGTTTTCCAGAACATTTATATTTATGCATTTGGCAGACACTTTTGTCCAAAGCGACTTACATTGAAAAAAAAAAAAAAAATATATATATATGAAAATATCCATATATATTTTCATGATTTATCACAACTTTTTCTTTTTGTCAAATCAACTTATATCAAATAATTATTGTTGTTCAGATAAAATAATAGCCTACGTTGAGTGTTGATTAAGCCAGTCTCTTTCTTTGTATTAACTCAATTTGTTAGTTTCAATAAACTCTCAATTTTAAGGCAATCAGGTTACTTATTTTAAGTTAAACAAACAGTAACAGTACTACAGGAAAGCACAGTACAGTTGGGCTCTGTGGCCTACCATTTTAAATATATATTTCGAAATCCTTTCATAGTATTTTAAGTAGGTCAGCATGGACCATATTTGACTTTATGCGTGACTGTTTGTGAGCTAGTATTGATTTAGGAGAATGACCTGAGGTTCCCAGATTGTTTTGACAAAATGGAGGGAAAAGTAAGGATAGTTTGCAGCCATAAAAGTCTCTTGTATAATCTTAGTATACCACACACTATGAAAATGTGCATAAGGCAGACGGTAATTTGAATACTTGTCTGGCTTGGATTTGACTGTATAACAGATTGGCATTCCACAAAATGGGAAATGGCGAAACAGTTCCAGAATTTCCTAATATAGTGAGCCTTAGGATCAGTTCACACGGAATGCTTTTTTGCAATTAAAATTGTATTTCCTTGTAAACGGTTACTTTAATATTGTCCAAATAATTTAAACTAATTTAAATTTAAAAGTAAATAGTAAAGAAATTAAAATGTGTATAGCTTTATTTCAACCAAAAATTAATATAACTGTTCTAAATATAAGCCAAATTAATAATTGTAGAGGCACACTTTTTAAAAGAAGCACAGCTTTTGATTTTTTGCTGGAATTAATAGACTTTTTTTCATTTACAATCAAACAAAACAATAAGTTGCAAAACGTATAACACAATAATAATAATAATATAATTATTATAAAATAATTATATATACTATATTCATCAGCACCTTCATAAATTTAAATTAAAAACACTGATGCACTGTTTTATACATCTTTTTTTTTTTTGTAGAATTTTTTTAATCGCCAAAAGATAAATCGCCATCTTTGCTTTGACCAAAGTGACTTGAACGCAACTGATATGCGAATTATGACTTTCGCAAATACAAACTTCCCAGGAGGACTTGAACACACCATAACAACACTTGCACTGCATCTGAAATCGAATACTACCCTACTATATAGTATGCGAAAAACAGTATGACAAGAGTAGTGTGTCCGAATTCATAGTATTCGAAAAACAGTAGGCTAAAAGTACCTGACCTACTGCTTCCGACGAGATTCTGAGGTGCGCGTCCGATGGATGTTTTATCCCATGAGGCCACAGGAGAGGATTTATGATGTAGTATGTCTGAATTTCATTCAGATTCATTCTATTTAGAACATACCTTATTCATTTATTAACTATGATAGAATTTGAACTTTATTTTAGTAAGTTCAAATCCAAATTTTGTACCTACTCAGTGTGCAATTTTAGGCTGAGTTTAGAATAGCACACTAGCATACAAACATGAAGTCTGTGCAATATAATACTAAAGGCCCGTTCACACCAAGGACGATAACTATAAAGATAACGATAAAGATATAGTTCTAAAAATCTTTCTCAATATTAAAGACTAGCAGAGTCCACACCACAACTATAATGATAAAGTCACAGAGAAACGATATCGTTGGAATCCCTTTCAGAACGATTTTTTTCCAGCTGATGAACAAAAAAAACATTGACAGCCAATCAGAATCCATCCTGCCATAATGAGCTCGAGAATTTAAAGCGGCAGTCGCTCGTGCCCTTAGAATAAACAGACGATATGGTTCGCTGGTGTTGACGCTAATATCGTTATCTTTATAGTTTATGTTCTTGGTGTGAATGGGCCTTAATGCTTGCCTGAGCAGATACCAGTAATAAAGAGCTAAATGATAATAAGGAAAGGATTATTTTTTCCCTGTTAGTTGATGCAACACTATATATTTTACCTTTATTTTGCAATTCAGTTGGCACCTTGCCCTTTCAGATTATAGAGTTGTGTGCACTAGATTTGATGTGCTGTGGTCACTGTGACAAAATAACCCTCTATTTACCAATAACAGCTACTTTGATTTTGAAAATCATAAAAGACCAAGGTTGCCCAAGACTGTGTGTGTGTGTGTGTATATAGAGTCTTTAGGCTACAGCTGCTAATATCATCAGTTCTGACTTCATAGCTCTCCAGCGTCCTACTAAAACCAAAACTAACCATTAGCTATAACTATACCGCTGTCCATTGCCACATGGCAGTGAGATTATTTCCTATTTTCCTGAAAGATCGTTCTGTGTCCCTCTGCTTTCTATTTCAGCAGAGACTGGGACGACGATACCTCTGAACTTTTCATCATAGTCAAAGTTTTTCCAAACAAAACACAAATGATTATATAAGGGGGCTGATCGTACAACTTTATGCACGCTTGTTTGTGACCTTCACAACCTGAGGACTAAAAATAAAAAATTGTGAAATCAGTTCTGTTGAACTCAAAGCAGAATTCCAACAAACGTAAATTAAAAAGCTTTGGGCCACCTCCAGTTAAAGGTTAACTTGCATAAGGATGACACAGTTAAAAAACAAAAAAAAACCTGACCTGATCCCCGATTTTGTCCAACACAAGGAATGCGTGTCTGAAGAGCTGTATAAGTAGGTGAACACTTTAATGTGTGCATCACCTATCATATGTTTGTTGTTTAAGATTTGGATTAAAGCTTGAATTGATCATTTCTCATGGACCAGCAATCAATCTTTATGATCATCCCTATAGCATGCTGTTTGTATGGTTTGAACAAGGATTGATAAAGCCATATTTGTTTCCTAATGTTTTTGTTTCGAATGGGTTTACTGAATAGCCTACACACAGATTGTATTCAATGCACATTATTTACAGCCTTCTCTTATATCACTGATGGTTCAACCTCTTTGTAAATACAAGCATGCAGAAATGCTATAGTGTAAATACATCATTATAGAAAAAATCTGAATACAGTTATGAAAGAAACTGAAATCACAAAATGACAGTCATTTCTACACAGACTATAATGTACTGTATGTTACTTCTAGTTTGGTGGGAATCTAAAATTGCAACCAATTACGTCTAACCCTCAGGCTTTAGCAAGTAAAATACCCATAAAAGTGAAGAACTCATAGGCATAAGTAAATAAAAAATCAAACGACTTGGTTCTGAAGTGGGATTTTATTTGAGTCATTTGCACTCTACAAATGCGCATTTATTTTCCTGGAGGCAAACCCACATAACTAATCTAATAAGCGTTAAAGTCATAAGCAGTGAAGTGTTTTATATGCTAATATAGTTCACTCTCTCCTAGACACCATTTAAAACTGATTCCATTCAAATGAGTTTGCATAATTGAGCTTCTGAAAACTGTAAACGGCCCATTTTCAGAAAACTGTGTCATTTGTGCCTAAAAATGTGAACTTATTTTTTAGCGTTTTTTTTTTTGCATGGGGGGTTAAATTTTTTTTTTGGGCCACCTCCAGTTAAAGGTTAACTTGCATAAGGATGACACAGTTAAAAAACAAAAAAAAACCTGACCTGATCCCCGATTTTGTCCAACACAAGGAATGCGTGTCTGAAGAGCTGTATAAGTAGGTGAACACTTTAATGTGTGCATCACCTATCATATGTTTGTTGTTTAAGATTTGGATTAAAGCTTGAATTGATCATTTCTCATGGACCAGCAATCAATCTTTATGATCATCCCTATAGCATGCTGTTTGTATGGTTTGAACAAGGATTGATAAAGCCATATTTGTTTCCTAATGTTTTTGTTTCGAATGGGTTTACTGAATAGCCTACACACAGATTGTATTCAATGCACATTATTTACAGCCTTCTCTTATATCACTGATGGTTCAACCTCTTTGTAAATACAAGCATGCAGAAATGCTATAGTGTAAATACATCATTATAGAAAAAATCTGAATACAGTTATGAAAGAAACTGAAATCACAAAATGACAGTCATTTCTACACAGACTATAATGTACTGTATGTTACTTCTAGTTTGGTGGGAATCTAAAATTGCAACCAATTACGTCTAACCCTCAGGCTTTAGCAAGTAAAATACCCATAAAAGTGAAGAACTCATAGGCATAAGTAAATAAAAAATCAAACGACTTGGTTCTGAAGTGGGATTTTATTTGAGTCATTTAGGACTCTACAAATGCGCATTTATTTTCCTGGAGGCAAACCCACATAACTAATCTAATAAGCATTAAAGTCATAAGCAGTGAAGTGTTTTATATGCTAATATAGTTCACTCTCTCCTAGACACCATTTAAAACTGATTCCATTCAAATGAGTTTGCATAATTGAGCTTCTGAAAACTGTAAACGGCCCATTTTCAGAAAACTGTGTCATTTGTGCCTAAAAATGTGAACTTATTTTTTAGCGTTTTTTTTTTTGCATGGGGGGTTAAATTTTTTTTTATTAACATTTTTTTAATACTTCATTAGAATTTTAACAGTAGTTAAAAGTAGTTTTATTCGATATATTAAGTTAATATAAGTAAAAAAAATGTAATGTACTAAAAGCTGTGTAACAATTGAGTATAACAAATGTATATTTACATAAATGACACAAGTTTCAATAAAATGGCATTAAAGTGTGTTTTAGTTTACTTTAGAAGTAATTATGAAATAAATACAAAAATAAAAATAACTGGGTTAAAAACACTCATGTTCAACTAACTGCATTTCATATAAATTTAAACTATAATAAAGCTACATTTTCATTTAAACGTAACACACAATTTGTCCAAAAACATTACATTTAATTTGCACTCTTTAAAAGTATGTTATTTCCAAAATATGTAATCTTTTTAAAAATAAGTGTGCTTCTTTTTCACAAGGGGAGCTAAAACGGAAAAAAGAGAGAATTCATTTTCAGCATTTTAAATTCTTGTAAACGTAATCAGCCTTTCCTAATTTCTATGTTCAATAAGCATTGCTTTGTTGATGCTGTTGCTGAAAATAATACTATTAAAACGAAGACCAGAGGAAAAAGGAGATACATAAAGAATGAATGGCATGTCCTGAGAGAGCCTCAACCACTCTGTGCCCTATACTCATGAAAAGCCCTGCACTATTTCCATGATTATAATGGATGGTGAGCACTATGTTACAGTGGATTGAATTACACTTAAAGCATGTGGTTGGTGGCTTTAGCCACATGTGCTCTGAGATTCTGACGGGTTACAGGGTCGTCTTTCACCCAGCTTCATGCGGGGCTAGTTTCGTGAGTGCCCCAGATTGTACTAGTAAACTCGGGCCCCCTGCCATCACATGGATCTTGTTTTGAGAAACATCCCTCAGATGCAGTTATGCACAAAGCTCCACCCACCACTCAGTTGTTGAGCCCGCCCTCTTACTTTGATTGGAGGAATAATGCAGATTGCCTCCCACCCAGTGGCTCTGATTGGGTGGGAGGCGGAGTCATGAAAGGCCAGAGTGCCCACAACCCGCCTCCTGTTCCACACACAATAACACTGCTTATGTTTTGCAAGAATTTTACATTGGCATTGCTTGAATGTCTTTTGTCTGCCTTCCCCTCTGAAGCCTCTCAGAAGAAGGAGAAAAGTGAAGAGGTGAACAGGCTAAACTCCAGCACAGAGAGGACACAATGGCAGACTTGTGATGTTTAAGGTAAGATACAGCCCTAAAATATCAAATTTAGTGTGAATATTTAAACAACTCATTAGAGAAGTAATGTCATAGAGCTTGAGCAAATCTCTAAGGATATCTTTAAACTCTGGGTGCCCAGGCATTTGCTTTTTTCTACTGTGTTAGAATATTGCAAAAAAGTGTTTTAGTGTAATCTGGGTGTGCCATTTTGCTTCCATATGATACGTCATTTGTTTATTTTGGACAAACAAATTCTCAGGAAGTCCATTTTTTGGGGCTGTCTCAAATGAGATTCAAAGACTTTCCTCTGATGTAATGAGTTAAACAATCGAGAGATGTCCTGAACTGCGTAGTTTTTGTGACAGGAGCCAACAAACAGGAGGTTTCAAATGGTGACTTTAGAAGACTCTTTTTGAATGTTTCTCAGGCACCAAGTGCTCAATGTTTCACATGTGTTTGATTATACAGTGAGTCAGAATTTACTTTGCTGCACACATGTCTTCTCATGTAACTGGTGTGCGTGCACATATTGCTGTTGGCAGAGAGCCAAGATTGTTGGCATGGTCCAAATACTGTGGACATGGAAAAAAATCCCACAGAGGAAGAGATGGAACAACACTCTAAGGATAAGAACGTGTGTGTAGACAGATAGTAGATAGACAGATAGTCACAGCAGTCATTGTGAAAAGTCCAGTAGCAGAGACTCTCCAACACCCCCTCTCTCCATAAAGTCAAAGGGTGATGGGGGTCAGAGAGCAGGAGAACCAATCTTTGGCTTTAGTCCTCCAGCCAGCTCCAAACAGAGGAGAAAGAATGAGAATCTGAGCCAAGGAAACCACACCGCTTACAGGGCCAAACAGGAAGAGTAAAACGTCTTTCTATTGTGTGTTAAAAATGTGAGTGAGTGAGAAAGTGTGCAGGACCAGCAGTCTGTTTTATGTGACAGTGAATCAGGTCTACTTGCACTGTTAAATGTGCATGTCAAAACAAAGCTAGCATAACATTTATGTTATTCAGAGATAAAAGAGAGAACAGGAGAGACACATTTTAGTGATAGCACAATTAGGAGAGATATGAAAAGACTCACTTAGAAAAACCACACAGTCATTGTGCAGCAAAATTACCTTGTATATGATTAAACTCAAATTCAAATATAAGTAAAAACAAAAAAACTACAACTTCCAGTTGTAGCAGACTAGTCTGAAACTCTCTAAAATGTTTGTTCCTCTCAAGTTTCCAGCTTGGTCTTATTTTCCATCCTCCGAGCCTGACCTAAAACCTGAAATTGTCTGCTCCGTTCAGAGTACACTGTGTTTCAAATTTTGTTCTTAAAGCGGTAGCAGTTTTTAAGTCATCATGAGTTTCAATCCAATTTGTGGTGTAAGAAAGAATGCAGTGGAGAGAAATACATTTAATGAGAGGAGGGATTTTTTTCCCCTTAGTGCTGCAAAAAAGAAAAGGGAACAATAATCATTACTGTGAAATGGAGTGTGCCTTACTCAGTGAACACAGACTACATTGTGAAAGTGACCAAATAAATCCTAAATCTTCTACAATGTCTGAATAAAGACTTCATATTAAAGTTGTCTGTAGAAGCAATTAACAGCACTCATAATGCTTTAGTATTTATATTACAGCTAATAATGGTGTAAATTAATTTTCAGCATTAGGACAGATATATACTCTATACAAGTACTCAAGGGGGCTTAAACATCAAATTCTGTGCCATTATACTGCATGTGGCACTTTCAGGTAGCTAGTTCTAAACATGTCAACAGTGTAACTTTCTTTAAACTAGCAATTTTCAACTGATGTTCCACCTAATTGTTGAACTGAAAGAGAAAACTGAGTGTAGAAGACCATTTAAAGCAAAGCCACCTGTGTCTCTTGCGATAAGGGTGAGATTCAAGCTTATGTAGCTGGAAACGTGTGTTCACATACTAGCATAGAGTACATTTCAGCATATGTCGTGTCAGCATATGAGAGAGGTGACAATGGGGTCATGTCAGTCTATGTGTGTCTACTTGTTTATGTTAAACATGTGCTCTACCAACACTGTTTACGTGTACCTACACAACAGGGGTGTTCAATCCTGCTTCTGGAAGGCCACTTTCCTGCAGAGTTTACCTCCAACCCACCTGCCTGGAAGTTTCTAGTGATCCTGAAGACCAGTTTAGAGCTAAGTTAGATTAGATACCCTCTTGTTCAGTGGCTATTTATGGACCTTCAGGATACAGAAAACATTTGTCAGGATATTTCCTATAAGTGTGTTTCGGACAAGAATCCTGCAGCCCCATTTTCCTATCAGCATGAGACTATATCAGCAATGTATTTTTTGTCTGACATGGCCCATATACCTCAATTTTTATATCAGTACTTTAAGATCAGCCTACCTTAGCATAGCCAGGTTCTGAGGTATGTCATAACCAAAAAAGGTCAGCCCCCATTTGTGTGTTTGTACAGCCAATCTCTACAGATAGAGTGGACAGGTATGAAAGAACGGCTGCTGCAACTTTTGATAAGATGGATTTTTCCTACCAGTGTGAGCGATGCCAAGATGTGCATCTGTGGTTGTCTGTGTGTATGCGAGCCAGTGGAAGGGCGGATGATAATAGGAACACTGCTTTGCATTATAGCGTGTCACATTGTAACTTCAGCATCGTTAAGCTCCTTTTAGACACAGGTCAGTGATGATATACTTTATTTAATTTTCTCTTCTTTTTAACTGCTCAAAAAGAAGTTTTAAAACAGATCTTTAATCAGGGTGTGGGAAATTACATTATAAATGGATTTATTTGAGGTTAAAGAAAGGAAAACGCATTCTTCAATGGGAAGAGTAACAGTCACGTTTCTCACTGTGATTGCAATATATAACTATTCCAAAACCTAGCTAAAGTAGCGGCCTACCTAGACAACATTTTATCCCTTCATTTAAAGGGTTAGTTCACACAAAAATGAAAATTCTGTCAGGGAGGTGGAGCGGAGGCGGAACAGGGGGAGGGATGGAGGGCCAAGTCCATGTGGAAGTGGAGAGACTGGGAACTGAGGCAAAGCCGGCAGAGCAGACTCGCGTCTATGCTCAGATCGTAGAGGTTGATTAAGGCCATCACAAAAAAACTCTATCAGAAGACAGTCTGGTAGATCAGAATAGTGGGCTATGGCTAAAAATGTGCGAACATAGTTCTCTAGTGATCGCGGACCCTGTCTAAGGGCTAACAAAATCCTTGCCGTGTCAATACCTGGCCAATATTCCTCTGAAAAGCTGCTGGATCCTTGTGAGGCTGAGTATTCTGTAACGGAGGGAACACAGGAAGCGTGCGGATCCATCTGCTAGGCTTTATTTGCAAGAGACGGGGTCAAAAACAGGCATAGGTCAGACAATGGCAAACAGGTATATTGATGGCAAGGCAAGAGGGATAATCCAGGTACAAGGCAAAGGTCCAGGCAGGGGCGAACAGTATCCAATTGGGCGAGACTCGAGGGATAATCCAGGTACACAGGCAGTGATCAGAACACGGGGAAACAGACAAGGCAAGATGATGAAAACAAGGAAAAACAAGACACTAGGCTCGGTAAGGCAGCTAACACTAGGGGAGTGGAAAATGCAGAACAATACACGAGACTAAAACAGAAAACACGGAATGGCTCGGTAAGGCAGCTAACACAAGGGGAGTGAAAAATGCTAGACAATACTCGGCAGTGAGAGAGAGGAAGTCCATGGCTTATGTAGCATGTCTGATTGGATCCAGCTGTGTGTGTGTGTGTGATCAGTGCATTCAGCTGTGTGCGTGTAATCAGTGCAATGGTTGATGGGAAATGCAGTCCAGGGTGATGTGTAACAGTCTGTGTGGTGTGAGAGTCAATGTAATGGGAGAAGGGTGACTTCTGATGGTAAGCAGACGGAAGTTCATGGACCAGATTCGTGACACATATAGTTCTAAACCAGTAAGACAAAACAAATTAAGATGTTTTTGATGAAGTCTGAGAGCTTTCTGACCCTTCATAGACAGCAATGGAACTGACACGTTCAAGGCCCAGAAAGGTAGTAAGGACCTCATTAAAATAGTCCATGTGACATCCGTGATATTAAATAAGATGAACTACATCAGAACGCCGGCTCCTGCATCAGCAGCACCACATGTATGCATGATACCCTTATGAGCACGTGTAGAAGACAGACACGGAAGAGAATAAATTGTTGAATAAAGTCGTTATTTTAGTTTTCTTCGCACACAAAAAGTATTCTTGTAGCTTCATAAGATTACGGTTGTAATAACAACTTTATTCAACAATTTCATCTCTTCCGTGATATTAACGCATATTTATTAACGTAATTTTTGGGTGAACTAAGCCTTTAAATTAGTACTGACAAGTATCAATAGAGTGGTGCAGGAATGTGTCATAAAACCCATTTTTTTGCAATTCCATCAGCCTGAAGACAATGGATTTTTTAAATGTTTTTTTTAAAGTTAAATACCTGAAATAAGGTCCGTGGTTAACAAAAGCTTGAATGTTTTCATGTTTTATTCTATGACATAAAATATTTCAGTAACACCCGCATTTTTTAAGCTTTTAACACCTCTTGAAAAAGTTGGTCGCTAACAAGTGGCTAAATGGAGCTACAGAAGTACTCAAACTTTCAAACTCATCTTGGACAATGGATTGTTTGTGTGTGCTATATCTTTTTATGCTTTGAATATAGCATGGTTAGCTTAGCAACATGTTAACATCAAATTCTTAAATCAGTCGTCATTTGTGTCTCTTTTCTGCTTCTTGTGAGTACTGCTATATTTTTAGTGTGGCGCACATGTTGCTGCCTAAATAGAGTGTTCCAAATCTGTCACTTGTGGAGTTCCATTTAATTTTGGATGCTGCCTTAGAAGGTGGTAGACAGGATGGCAGCTCACTAGGGCTTGAAAAAGATCTATTTTGTCCAAATACAGCTTTCTTTGAACATTGACCTTGAGTTTGTCCTGCTTCAGGTTTAATTTTTAGCATCCCTTATGTTTTCAGTGATTCAAAAAAAAAAAGTGTGCTTGCTTTCTCTTAACCTTAGGTTTATGTGACGTGGACCTGAGAAACAAGTCTGGCTACACTGCTATCATGCTGGCCTCCTTGACAGCTGTAGAATCACCAGGAGACATGAAAGTGGTCCAGCAGCTGATGGAGCTTGGTGACGTCAACGCCTGTGTTGGCCAGGTGATGGGAGGCATCAGCCAATTGGCTCAGTGTACACCTTACATCAAAATGATTTATTTGAAATGGACTGCTGATTTGCATAAGATCTGGCATGTTCTGTAATGTTTCAGAAGATGGATGTGTTTCTGTTCTAAATAAATGTGTCTTTAGGTGGGACAAACGGCTCTTCACTTGGCAGTAAGACATGGACGTGTCCCAATGGTGCATCTCCTGCTTGAACAAGGAGCGGATCCTGATGCCCAGGATCATGCAGGAACCACGCCACTGATCAGCGCCTGTGATCGGGGACACGTCAGTATTGTGAGAATTTTGTTACAGGAAGCGAACTGCGATGTCAATTTAAAAGACAAGGTAATTTCTTGTGCATGTTTGTCTAAACCTTAACAGAAAACAAAAACACCTAACCACGTGTTTATCCAACAGTATATTTTACAGCTCCAATAACACGGTTATACAGAAGATTTCCGTAGGGTTTAAAAGCAGAAATGTGCTTTTTGTTGAAATGTAAAATTAAATGTACAAAATATGTCCATGATTTAACTGAAATAAGGGAACAAATCAATAAATTGTGCCCACGATTTACAAAGCTGTGAGCACAATTTGGTAATCTGAAGACATTTTCCCTGATGAGTCATCTTTGCAAAGGCATTCCCACTGCTCCTGAAGGAGCTCTTGTAAAAAAAGACATTTTTCTTTTTCCAAATGTCAATTGAGGGACTATTTAGGCAACATCCAATCAAAATGTGCAAAGATTTGAATAATTTTATACAATAACTTAATTTATGTTTAAAATTAATTGGATAAGAAAAATTGCTTTTCTTTTTTTGAAATGTTTATTACATTATTATTTTTAGTCTCCAATTTTATAGAATGTTTTGAAAGTATTATATATTTTACATAATATAGGTGCTGTAAAGACTTCCTGCAATCGTTCAGATAGAAACTTCCTGTTTAATGTCCACCAGTTTGATTCATATACTGTATACACATTACCATTCAAAAATATGGGATCAGTACAATGTTTTAATGTTTTGAATGAAGACTCTTATGCTCATCAAGGCTGCATTTATTTGATAAAAATACTTTAAAAAAACAGTAATACTGTAAAATATAATTTCAATTTTTAAATAACCATTTACTGTTTTAACATATTTTAAAATGTCATTTATTCCTATGATGGAAAGCTGAATGCTTTTTACAAGATGTAACACAAGTCTCAGGTCCCCAGAATGTGTCTGTGAAGTTTCAGCTCAAAATACCCCACATATAATTTATTACACCATGCTGAAAATGACATTTTTTTTTTAGTGGAAGCAAATCGTGCCGTCTTCGTGCATGTATCTTTAAATGCAAATGAGCTGCTGCTGATTTCTAGAATTTTCCCCCTTTTCTAGAAGAGGGCTGCGACTTTACATCTCGTGCCTGGTATACTCTGCCAAAACAACACAGCTGTTTGGTTTTGATTATCATGTCTGTCATAGTCACGCTCACATGACATTGCAGTTCTTTGTCATCATGAAAGTTTAGTATTTGTATGCATTTTATAGGTATGTAATTTAATTAACACTCAATCTCCGCACACCTGTAGGCAATTGATAGGTGCGTAGGAAACAGAGACCACAAAGATCAAAACTCAAGGTGAAAAAAAACAATTCCCGTACTTTATCTCCTTTAGGCATGAACGATGAAGTACTGTTTAATGTGATGTTATAAATTATTAATATATATTTTTTTGTGATTGATGTTAATTATGTACCCAGTGTGGGTTATCACTAAGTGATGGTCCTTTGCAGTGATTGGTCATGAATTATTTTTAAATGTGGTTTAAATTGTAATTTCATGTTTGAAGATACCTGATGAAGGTCATGCGACCGAAACGTTGTTATTAAACCTTTTAGATACTTTTGCACTAATTAACAGTGTGCGGGAATTGTTTTATTTTTCCATAGGTATGTAATTTGACAGTACTTAAGCATAAAAATCATAACGTACCCAGTGTGGGTTATCACTAAGTGATGGTCCTTTGCAGTGATTGGTCATGAATTATTTTTAAATGTGGTTTAAATTGTAATTTCATGTTTGAAGATACCTGATGAAGGTCATGCGACCGAAACGTTGTTATTAAACCTTTTAGATACTTTTGCACTAATTAACAGTGTGCGGGAATTGTTTTATTTTTCCATAGGTATGTAATTTGACAGTACTTAAGGATAAAAATCATAACTGCAGATATTTAGGAAACATGCTAAGTTCACACGTTTCTCTGAAAAACAATCCTACAGCCAGTTAATTTACTTTGAAATGTGCGTTCAGTGTCAGAATGTCTGTTTTTGTTTTAGACTTTATACCCAATTTACCTAATGGTTTTTCGACACCCAGGGTTGCCACTTAAAGGAAACACAGCTTATTATAGCCATGGAAAACAGCGAACAAACTGGGTCAGATATCGCAGATTTTACCCGACCTACAAAGGCCTTGGCATCCATCTAGAAAGCTCTATAACAAGAGGCATATTAAATCAAGGATAAATCAATTCAACAACTAAGACTTGTTGCCTTCCATTGTCAGTTGCGCTCATTCCTCTTGCATGACATGTCCTCAATCTGGCAACTCACGTGAGCGTTGAGTCTGAGGAGGGGGCGGGAGAAACTCTATTTTGAATTTGGACTGCAGTACCCATTTCAACCACTAGCTGTCAATATTAAATACTGCACCTTTAAAGGGATAGTTCACCCAAAAATGAAAATTCTGTCATTAATTACTCACCCTCATGTCATTCCAAACCCGTAAGACCTCCGTTCATCTTCGGAACACAAATTAAGATATTTTTGATGAAATGTGAGAGCTCTCAGACCCTGCATGGACAGCAACACAAATGTAATGTCCCCAGAAACGTAGTAAGGACATCGGTAAAACAGTCCATGTGACATCAGTGGCTCAACTTCAGTTTTGCGAAGCTACGACAATACTTTTTGAGCGCATAATACTGTCTATGTTGTTAATATTAAACAAAAGAAAAAAAACTGAAAATCACTCATGAACAAGTTTAGTAGTAGGTTTATAAGAATACATTTCTTACTTGAATGCTGATTTTAAATGCTCCAGCGAGGAGATAAACATGGTGGACAGTGTACAGCTCTTTCAGGGGAGGAGCTAAGCAAATAAGTCAAAGATGGTTACCAGTCGTGGGCGGGGCATGTACCGATGTGACGTCACATTGGAGTAGCCTAATACTTCCGATTTATGGGTGGCAATAACAAATGCAGTGTATGGATTTTTACCACAATTGGGTGGATGTTTACATTCACTGTGGATACATAATTCGTTCAAAAACAATATAAAAGTGAGTTTTGCATAAGAGATCCCCTTTAAAACATGAATGTTGTTATGTACCAAAAATATTTAGTTTAATGAAACACCAAATGGCAGCAGATTTTTTTATTCACTTTTATATCAATTTATAGAGAGACATATAAAGAGAAACATTTGAAATACAATGAGACCACTATGCCACAATAAAGTTTATGCAGTCAGAGATCAGACAGAATGAAATCAGATTGTTGGTAAAAATCACAAAACACAAAAAAAGCACAAAAAAAGAAAAACAGTAACAATGTAATTGAATTAAACTACTCAAAATATTCTATATTAAAGCCTTAAAATGTAAAAATAAAGATTGAAATAAATTAAAAAAATTTAAAAAATACCAACAGCAAAAATGAATAATACCAACAGCACAGAAACACTTCGGCAGAATATATTATTTTACCATCAGAAAACATATATTCCAAATAAATTAATTCATAGGCAATACTGTTATCTAAAATCTTATATACATTTTTACAAAGGTGTATCAAAATTATTTGTATGAAAACATATTTACACATCGCATTCTGTAATCACATTACACACATATTTAACTTTCACACCACAAATACATGCATTCTGAACGCACATATTAACATCCACACACACACACACACACACACACACACACACACACACACACACACACACACAAAGGATATTAATGCTCCTCTCTTATGAGGGAGTCTTCATTTGAAATCCTAGAGCGATGCTCTTTAATATTAATGAGGTAACATCTGATCGCAGAATCTGAGAATGAACAGCTGGTCTTCCTGACCACCCTAATGAGAAAAAAAACTCCTTTTGTTTGACAATTTATTCAAAGGATAGGACACCAAAGACACCCTCACAATATAAAGTACAAGGGAAAAAAGCCTCAGCGAGTGAATCTCACGAAAAATGTTCAGGTCATATTTCACCCCAAAATCAAAAGAAAGAAATAACAAAATATATTTTGCATGAAAAAAAAGCCTACTTTAAAGACCATTAAGATTTACTGTATTGTAAAATGTAAAAACATTTGGCCCTGGTATTTCTCACTCTCATGATTATCTTATTTTCTTACTATGGAAGCAGTGTAATTTTTTAAATTTTATTTAGTAATATACAAGTAAAATGTAATTATTTAAATTGATTAAAAATTACATTTCATGTTTATACATCATTTATACATAATTAAATAAAAAACAAACAAACTAACTAAATTTATTTATACAGTATATACAGTTCAAAAGTTTGGGGACATTATGATTTTTTATTTCGACAGAAATGAATATGATTAAAAAACATAGGATTTCGTTTTGTATATTTATGTATCACTTTTTTCCACAAAAAAATTAAGCAGCATAACGTAATTCAGAAACAATAAGAAATATGTCTTGAGCAGCAAACCAGCATATTTGAATAATTTCTGAAGGCCGGATCAAGTGACACTTAAGATTGGAGTAATGATGCTGAAAAATCAGCTTTGATCACAGAAATCATTTACATTTCATAATATATTAAAATAGAAAACAGTTCTTTTAAATTGTAATATTACTTAACAATCATAAAGTTTTTACTGATCAAATAAATAGAGGCTTGGTGAACATAAGTCTTTCAACAACTTTTAAAAAATCTTTTGAACAGTAGGCCTAGTGTGCATACATACAGTACATATTTCTTTGTGCAAAATATGATTTCTTTCTTTTCATTTTGGAGTGAAATGTGACTGGCATGTTTGGTAACCTGGACGACAAAAATCGGTCTCTGACCAAAGCCACTCTTTATGCATCACATCTTAGGTCGACCTATGCAAGTTGCATTTTATGCATTGTTATGCATTATTTCCCATTCCAATTATCATAACTAACTGAAACCCTTCAGCGCTCACACTCTGTAGTCTATACCATCTCCCTGAGACAAAACCAATCGTTCCCACAGCAGATGACAGAAGAATGCAGAGGTACCCCGTGTTAAAAACAACCGCAGAAATAAATGTCCAGCATTTAGAACGTATGGCCTTTCAGAGCGTCTTTAAACGTCGGTACGTCTATTACAGTGAGGCATGAGCACTGAATCTGCTGAGAAGGCTGTCTGCACATATGCCAGTCCCAGACACTTTTTCCCCCAATGTTAACGTGATTCTAATGTGTTTAGATGTTAACATAGTGCTTATGTAACCTTTAGCTCGGCGCCTGTAGCTATGCTAGACCCTTGGGGCGACTATCAGCTAATGTTCTCCCCGTTTCTCCGCTCCGGAGATAAACAACAACATGAAAGAGAATGTACTGTAAGTGGGCGGCACGGTAAACCCGTTCAGCATGCAACAACTCCAATAACAGAAACAGACGTGTGAAACTGTGACATTTCATAAATTACCACTGGTTTACGCCTAGCGAAATGCAGCTCGGTGTGAACTGCAAGAGACCCCGCTGTGTAACGCACTCGCGCTGACCCTCGTAACATCTATTCCGGAGTGATTATGCTAGGGTTTGCTCCACTAACCAGGGTACTCTGCCAACTTCAGTGTCTTGCCAAGTCGTAGCTGCAGTGCGGTGGAGCCCCAGAGCCTCACCAGACAGTCGTGTGAATTCAAGGACAATGGCTTTTCATTTGCATGCGAGTGATGAATATACAATGTCTCTCTATGGAGTAAACACACCTATAAAAAATGGATAATACTGATGAAACGGACAAAACATATCAAGTTTGGGAATATTTTTGTATTGATATCTTTCTTTGTTGGGTGCGTTCTAAGTTTAAAACCTAAAATGTAAACATCCTAGTATTAATTACTGTTAAAGTCAACATGAAACAACATTTGCAGCCCATTTTACTTTTATAATGCCATATTTCTAAATTAAATTTGAACATTTAATGAGGAAAAAAGGAGGGACTTGATTTTATGCATTGGGAATTGAATGGATCATGAAGAACGGTCTCCATATTAAAATTGTTAGTGACATTAGCCAAAAAATAAAAGTTGTTTCAGAATTTGAAACAACTTTTCTAATATTTTTTTTCCCTTTGGAATCATATGCACAGATGAAACGCGTACAGTATGATCAAACATAGGAAAGTGAATAAGTCCTTTTTGATTTCATGTTAAAGGGTTAGTTCACCCAAAAATGAAAATTAGGCTGCATTTTACTCACCCCCGAGGCATCTTAGGTGTATATGACTTTCTTCTTTCAGACGAATCCAGTCGGTGTTATATTAAAAATGGTCTTTGATCTTTCAAGCGCTATCGTTGCAGTCAGCGGGTGTTGCATTGCTTCAGTCCAAAAGAAGTGAAATAAAATGTGTCCATCCATTAAAAAAGTGTCTCACACGGCTCCGGGGGGTGAACAAAAGCCTCCTGTAGCGAATCGATGCACTTTTGTAAAAAAAATATCCATATTCAAAACTTAATAATCACTTTAATGTAGCTTGCGCTCACTGTTGTACACGGAAGCAGCTCCGGGCGGATGACGTATGAGGTCGGCTTTGCACATACGCTGCTCAGATGTGACGCACACGGAAACGCAGCGGAAAGATCAAAACAAAACAAAGGTCAAGAATTAGAAGTACAAAATGAGGATTTGTAAAGAAGAATGTCAGAGGATTTCGATATAAGCCAAGAGGAGACTGGTTTTCCTTTGCTAAAGTAAGGAAACTTTGCTTCCTTTGCTCCTGTAAACAAACGTTGGTTTTCACGAGACTCACCGGCGTATGCGCAACGCTGACCTCATACGTCATCCGCCCGGAGCTGCTTCCGTGTACAACAGTGAGCGCAAGCTACATTAAAGTGATTATTATGTTTTGAATATGGATATTTTTCTTGCAAAAACGCATCGATTCGCTACAGGAGGCCTTTGTTCATCCCCCGGAGCAGTGTGAGCGCTTTTTTATTTAACTTCTCTTGGACTGAAGCAATGCAACACCAGCTAAATGCAATGATAGATCTTGAAAGATCAAAGACAATTTTTAATATAACTCCGACTGGATTACTCTGAAAGAAGAAAGTCATATACACATAGGATGCCTCGGGGGTGAGTAACACGCAGCCTAATTTTTATTTTTGGATGAACTATCCAATTATTATGTCTGTAATAGGTCAAAGATTATTAAAATTAAATAGTTATACTGTATAATATGATACAGGTAAACAATTTTAGAAATGTGGCTCACTGTTTATACATTTTATTATTATTAAACAATTCTATAAAAAAAAAAAAAAGTAATTACACCAAGTAGTTAAAATTGCTTGTTTACCCTCGAGCCATCAAAGATCTACATTTGGAATTGTTATTTCTGTAATTGCGTCTAATTTTTTTGTTAAGCCTATTAAAAGGTACTTTATGATGTAATACATTGTAAATTATAATCTAATTAATTGGTTAATTATGTAATTTTGGAAACTAAATGAAACACTGCCATGTTAGTAATTAAAATCAAAAACTGTTTCTCTCTTCAGCTTTAGTGCTTTCCATATTTATGTAGTAAATTCAATGCCAGTTACAGTGCTAGATTTGTCTAGAATTATAAGATAAATATAAATAATGTAGGTTTGAAAAGACTTGCCCTGGTGGTTCCAACCAGCAATAAAATGATGCTTAAAATGGACCTAAATGAATATGGGTCTGAAATGTCTAAACCTTTTGTTTAGTAATCAATCGAGAGTTTGCACTCCAGCGGACTTCAAAACCTGGGCATGTTAAGAATGATTCAGCTGGCTAAATGCCATTCAGTTCCTGCATAGCTTGGCAGCCACGTGTCAGTCCTGCTCCCTGCGGTCACAGTATTTCTAGAGTCGTCCTCCCCTTTCACTTAGTACTAGAGATGGTGGGCTGATCTGTGTACCAGTGTGTGGCAGGGTCTGGTAAACCGGTCCCCAGAGGCAGAGCGATGAATGGTGGGCACGTCCCCGTACCGACTGGCGTCATGCCGACCACGGGCCCGGGGTAAGGGTGGTGATGGCCAGCGAGCCCGTCAGTCCGACCGATGTGAATCTCGTCCTCCTCTGTCTCTCCTGTGGTTTTGCGGTAGACAGGGTTGTCGAAGTTCATGCTTTTGGTGCTGTTCCTCCTCCAGTTGCGGTAAACGAGGTAAACGCCGGCACAAACCACTCCGAAGACCACTGTGGCAACAATAGGAACTGCATGTGTTTAACATACAGCCGTGAGGGGACATGTTAACACACGCTTGACTGGCGGTGGAATGACTGACAAGACAGCCAGTGTGACAAACAAAAACAGACAGACAGATAAATAGATAAATAGATAGATAGATAGATAGATAGATAGATAGATAGATAGTAGGGATGTACGATATTATTGGACCAATATCGGAATCGACCAATAAGGGCTTTAAATGTAACTATCGGCATTAGCCCGATATGAAAAATTATGCCGATATGGCTTGCCGATAAGAGGAATGCATTAACTCACATGTGCTCAGGGTGTGCTAGCGATTAGATCACGTCAGCATTGTGGCTCATTCTTGAAGCAAAATTTTGCCTGAATGGTGATTGGATTCACTGTTTTGGATCACTGCATTTAAACTGAGAATGCATGTACAGAATGACACGTTTGGTGTATGATAGAGTAAACAGTAATAGCAGGTGCAGTGGCAGTGGCAGCAGCAGCAGCCTGGGTCCTAATGCCCGCTTAGTAAGGAGTTTTAATTCCGCAGTTGGCATACTTCTAATAAAATGAAAGCAAAATACACAAATAATATTTAGACTGTGTTTCTGATTAAATAAAGCAGTAATTAATGCCATAAAATCATGAGTATGTTTTGATTTAAAGGTCAGAAGCTATAGCTTACGCGAACAAAAAAAAAAAATCACAAACATGACAATTAAATTAAATAATTTTATATATATACTGATGTATTAATTAATATGTAATGTTATTTTTTAAACAAATTATGAGCTCTAAAAGATTTTCAGAATTTTTACACCTCTTTTGCTTTAGACCATTTACAAATGTTAAATCATAAAATAAAATGTTATGGTTACCACTGCATCTTTCTGAAAAAGAAAAAAAAAATGTAGTGATTAATATATAGTTTATTTATAGTTATTTTCAAATCTTCAATGTACTGTCATTATAAAATAACTTTATTATTGTTTATTTAATTCTAACAAATAAGTTCTTGATAAAAACTAACCAAAATGGAAAATAATTATATATCGGTCAAAATGAATCGAATATTATCGGCATATCGGATATCGGCAAAAATCCAATATCATGCATCCCTAATAGATAGATAGACAGAGAATGGAATGGGGAGGCAAACAAGTGTAGAATTAAAGGAAGTGTTCACACAAAAATAACAATTTTGTCCTTTACTTACCCTTAGGTTGTTTTAAACTCTTCCGTGGAACAAAAAATGAGAAGTTTAGTGTAATGTTCATGCTGCCCTATTACTCACACAAAACCATGGATCGCAGAATGGACCAAAAGAAAGGGGTTGGGGGGTTGGAAACAGAAACAGTACTAATAATACTAGTTAGATGCCAGGTATATTATGAATTTTTTTAAGCTAGGACTCTGGATAATTGATTTTTAGAACAGAGGTCACGGTTCTCCTACGATTCTGAAAACAAAACACTGACAACCAAACAAAATAATATGAGGTTCTGACAATTTTTTTTATTTAATGTTATGAGTCTATTTATAAATGTCTAAAATGGTATAAATTACTCTATTTAAAAATATGTATTATTTTAAATGAATTCACTATGTAAAATATCATTTTAAAAAATAAGTTTCGTCCAGAGTTTTTGATTCAGACATCAAATATTTTAACAGTCACTGGTCACCAACTGGCATAATGTAACATATACAATCTTTATTTAGTTCCAACTATTCCTTTTGATCGCGACTGCCGCAACAGAGTCTATATCCAAACTATGAACTTTTATCTCAATAAGCTACTTTTGTTATTATTTAATGTTTGCAACACAGAAATGTAGCCTAGCCTGCTGTGTAGACTGTTTGTGAAGCTGTTTCAAACATGAAGCTTACATGCTTTAAATATTCTGATATGATTTCAAAGGTTTAATAGACAGAATCATTTAGGAATAAGATCGCGTGTTTGAACCGAGATCTCGATCTTGAATAATTGTGCATACATATCAGCCTATAGCCTACAAATTTTCAAATGTCATATTTGTACCAGACCTCAGGAGTAGCCCCTGCTTTCGCCACCCAAGCATAAAACTATTACATAGCTTCAGAAGATTTGAAGTTTAGTGCATGAGTCAGATGAGACAGATCACTTTTATGGTGCTTTTTTTGTTATTTTTAGGCTCCTGTAGACTTCAGGTGCGGAAAAGAGCAGCATGAACATTCTATCTAACATCTCCTTTTGTGTTCCACAGAAGTCAGTCAGTCATACTGATTTGAAACTGGGTGAGTAAATATCAGAATTGTTATTGGTGAACTGCTCCTTTAAATTGGCTAGAAAAAGAGAACATGAGAATAGCAAATTGAAACAGAGCAAAGAGGGTTGATAGGGAATGAGGAATAAGGAAGAAGGGCAAAAACTCCATACAAACAAACTCAAAGATATCAATCAGAGGAAATTATTATATGGCTCTCAGAAATCTTTGAATGCTGATAAAAACCTAACCTAATAAAAATCAAATGAATCAAAATGCAGCAGGCTCTGCAATGCAGCAGGCTTGATTTTAGTCTGTTTTGTTGTATTACCAAGGGAATTTCTTTCTTGACTCACGAACACAATAAAGTAGAATGAATCTAAATTCATGCAGACAGCACACACACAAACTGCATCTCCATACAGCTGAGTCTGCTGCCCCAGCCTTGTAGTTAGAGCATCGGTGAGCAACACTGGTGTCAAAATGCACTCAAAATAGCACAGAGCAGGACCCCAGATGTACATACCTATGGGAATTACAACTCCAAGCACTGCCACTGTCAGATTACGGCCAAGGAGAAACAACTCATTGCCAGCTGGGGGAAAATGAAAGACACCTTCAGATACACAGTCACATTTGTTTAACATGTCAAGTCAAACATGTTGATGTAGCTGACTGACCCTTCACTAAGCCAACCAAAACAGTGACCAGTTGCAGCTTAGTGACTATTGCTAGCGTTAGCGCAAGCTTTCAGGCTTTCTCAGTATGACCAAATGGATAAAATGCTTGAAGGGAGGAGTAAAAGAGCATTCCAGTATAGGAACACTGTAGAAAACACTGTACAACATTTTAAATCAACGTTTTAAAATCCTGGCGAACTTTTGAAGCAAAGCCACATGAATTACCTACATGAGTTGTTTATATGTTTAATCTTTATCTTTATGCATTTCTGATAGACAGCATTGTTACTATCACAAATTGTTGAATTGTTAAATTCACACATTTCACACGTTTTTACATTTGTATCACCTCTGCTATCATATAATGTTATTTCAGTTTAATTGAGATACTGGTATAGTTGTGCTAATATTTAGATGTAGTTTTTAAAACTCTTTGTAAAAATCTGTCAGTTTTGTAGTGAAATACAAATGTATAAGTGTGGCTATTAGGGATGGGAAGATTCCCCATTTCGCTCGGTGCATCGGCATAAAAAGTTAACGATGCGATGCATCGGTTTAAAAAGTGTGTATCGGCTACAAGTCGGCATTTGTATCGCAATGCATCGTTTCTAACATATTTGCATCAGTAAAAAACAATTTATTTATATATAATTTACTAGTGTATGCACTATACTTTTATTATTTAGAAAGTGACCAATAATCTGGGATCTATGCATTTGTTTGTCAAGCGCGTTCTCTCATCACTGCTGCTGCGTGAATATGACCCATCACAACACTACGGAGACCCAAGAAAAAAAACTGTGATTAAAGTCCAAAACCTGACTTGAAATAACCTAACAAATAAATTGGGGCTAAAGCATTTACATAAACGACAAATTAAGTTCACACAATCTCACATTTTTAATCTGTAAATGTTAGAAAGTCATGCAAATATATCCATTTTGCTGTCAGGAATGGGCGAGGCTTACGCGAGTGAACGAGCGCAGCTGTGCGCATGCGTGCTAAACAGACGGCGCGCAATCGAATAGGAGCGCAATAATTCTGAGTAAAATATACATTGTGCTAAAATATTGGTTGCTGGACATTAAATGTGCCTTTTGTAGAATTTTAAACCTTCATATAAGTGTATTTTTATGATAGCAGTAGGTAACTGTAAAGAGACTATTGTAATGGGTAAATCAAATGTAAGCTAGTTCAGTACTAATTACTAAGCTCAAATCAGTTAATGTGTGTTTCTTATAGCAGTTTAGAAGTCATTTTCTTTATTATTTATTTTAATTTTAATTCAGTGATTTTAACTTTTAATTTAGTTATTTTAATGCTTTAAAGAGCTATTTTAGATTGTAATGTTCTAATGTTCTGCTATCTGTTCTGCAAAGGTACAGCTGTCATAAAACCAGAGAGAGCCTTTCTGCTTGGCTAGAAACTAAAAAAAAAGTCAAATAATAGTGTTCCTATTGGTCAGTGTTAGAGGAACTCAGCTTAGTCTGACAGTTAACCTGCTTTAGACCAGGTTAGTTTCCCAGCATGCTTTGCCACAGTGACTTAAGTCGATCTATGTTAAATTTGCTTTATGGAACCAAATCATGTGACAATGAGTCAGACTAACTGAAATAAGCCTGGCTTATTTGGTTAACTTGTTTTATGAAACAGGCCTTGAGGCATTAAAAGTGATCATATTTTTTTCATTGCATCGTATTGTCTCGAATCGCATTGTGTTGAATCGAATCGAATTGAAATCGGATTGCACTGCATCGTAATAGGGGGTGAATCGTATCGCATCGGTAGCTGCTTCATATGTATCTTTAATGCATCGTATCGTTGGCTATGCATTGAGATGCACATCCCTAGTGGCTATTATTTGGTGGCTGGTGCACTACAAATCATGAATGCAGTTGAAGACGTGAAATATTATTTCCAAACATACTGTCAATGAAAGTATATGACGCATGGTATGATTTCTGCTGGTAATCCCACATACAGTATATTCAAATCATTTCCGGTGGCCTAGCAGCTTCTCCCAGTGCTCCCAATCTGAGCCATTTGTACGCTCAATATATTATAACTATACTCTCAAAATATTATAACTTTAATTGCTACGATTTAATACTCGCAAGTTTTACTTTATAATCAAAATATTTTGACTTTATTCTCATAATTTCGACTTTATTCTCAAAATATTTCGACTTTATTTTCATAATTTCGACTTTATTCTCAAAATATTTCGAACTCTATTCTTGAAATATTTTGACTTTATTCTCGTAATTTTTACTTTATTCTTAAACTATTTCAACTTTATTCTTGTATTGCTATGACTTTATTCTCATAATTTTTACTGTTTCTCAAAATATTAAAACTTTAATCTCGTAATCTTAGATTTTTTTTTTTTTGTTTGTTTTTAACGTGGCACTAAAACGCGTCGTAGAATCACTTTTTATTTATTTATAAATTTTTTATCCAAAGATTACTTAAGTCTTTTCTGGATGCATATTAGCCATTTGGAAGCATATTTTCAAAAAATGAAAATAATATCCCGAGGTTGCAAACTCTTTTCTTCATAAAAACGTTATACTGCATGCTGATTAGAAAGGTTGAACAGTAACCAAATCATGCTGATGGCATTTTCTCACTGTGCAAGCTGTTAGCTGGCATTTCTGATTTGCAGTTTTGCACTCAAAGCATTTCACTCCAACCCACATAATAAGTACTTCCACGTAATGAGCATATTTTGCCAAAAACCATTCATGGATATGAGTTCTCTGAAACACTCTGTAAGCTCGTCAGACCTACCAACAGTAACCAGGATGACTTAACAAGGCTTAATTAAGGTTCCTCCTGTGCACGAAAGCACACAGACCCACACTTACAGTGATGAGACAGGTTGCTCAGGCTGTCTGGTGTGGTGCTGGACACTTGTGTAGGGCTGTGCTCTGCTGTAGTATTAGAGGAGATGGCCGGTTCCTCTGGGCTGGAGGTGAGGAGTGATGAGAGAGTGGTTTCAGCCATACTGTCGGACTGAGATGTCACTGCTGCAGGGGACTCTGGTGCCCGGCCAGGCCCTGTCTCATTGGTGATGTTGATGGGGACAGTAGGTGTGACGGCAGTCTCATTTTGAACTGGTGGTATAATGATGGGTAAGAGGTTAGTTATAGGAAAATAAAATAAGCTGCAACAGTGTCTTTACCAAAATCTTCTTTGATGTTTAAAACAAAATTGTTTACAGGACTGGTCAGGACATGGTGTTATTAAGGCTGTTTCACACTGAGCGCAATGAGAAAAAGATAGAGTCGCAGATGAACGGTGCTTTCACACCGAGCGCGAAACGATTGTTCGCCTTCTGCTAATTCACGCCTGCACGCTAGGTGGTGCCGACCAACAATGCATTTTTCCTCAGATATGTATCTCATATATGGATTTAACATCGTCCACTGCTCAATATACAGCATTAAATTAAGATAAACAAAGTTTGGTTCTACACCAGAAACACAAACTATCTATAATGCTTAGAAGAATGCATCCTAAAATATAATTAATTAGAAGTACAATTAGCATCAAGCTACTTTTGAAAATGTAGTTATTAATGTATGCATCATCGAGTGCTAGTAATAACTTTCGATTGTGATCTATAGTTGATTTTGATTTTGCACTCTTTGTATGTTTAATAACGCTACACTGCTAATATTTGTCATAAACATCCTTTATTGCTATAAAAATACCACGACAAAACACATACAGAAAATATATCGTCATAATCATATGTCAATTTGCTTTCATATTTCATGTGTAGAAAAATGTTTCACTCTATTTTTTTTACGGGATATTTTGATTCAGGAGATCAAGAGAGTGAACACGCTGAGACTCATATAAAGACACGTTCACACTACACGCGACACGCAACAAAGAAACACAATCCCATTCATTTCAATGGAGAGCTGGCGATTTCCAGCGACACGAGCGACCGAATGGTTCAGAATGGTCCAGCGACGCGACAAAGTTCAGAATCCTTCAACTTTATGCAAATGAAGAGCGACTTTCGGGAGCGACAGCCAATAGGAAAGAAGACGGTAGAGCTCATGTGATCGTCCTCCTCTCAGCCGTTGATAAACAATGGAAGAAAGTATGCTCTGTTTCTCATTCATTTTTGTTTGTATGTACGGATTTAATTTAGATTTAGATTATATTTAGTCTTTTGCCTTACTGTACTGAAGAAACCTGATTCGCTGTCAAGGCAACCAGTATTGAAAACGCCCTCTAACAACCTCATCGCCAGCCCCTGGCGACATGCAGCGACAAGGGGAAAAAATCGACACACAGGATGGAAAAATAATCCTTGCTTTTTCGCGCCATGAAATATCGCTCCTGATGTGAATAGCCCCATAGGGATCTATTGTTTCGATTTAAAAGCGTCATCGCGCCGAATTTCGCGTTCAGTGTGAAAAGGCCTTTAGGCACAATGTAATGAGCTTACCGGGTACACACTGGCGTGTGTCAGGGCTGAGCTCCTCGCCGTCAGGGCAAGCGCAGGTGTATTTGGGTGAGTGTTCACTGATCTGAGGAGCTCGCAGACACAGGAAGTCACAGCCTCCGTTAGTCACGCCGTTCAGGTTACAGCTATCAGGAGCTACACACACACACAATGATTAATCATCCATCAGTGGAGATGCGTTCACATTCTGTGAGCCACATGGGTCAAACACACTTCATCTTCAGTCTGTGGAGACTGTGGAACTAGGATTAATATTTAACAGCTGTTGACGCTTATTGTCTTCGGTACCAGATTATTAAGTCAAAAAGACTTAGATGCCGATTAAAACAGAAATGGCAAGCGTGATGGATTACAAAAGAAACAAATCCGATAATGGATTTCATAAGGTGGATTAAAAACTTTATGTTGTATGCCATTAGTCAAAATGTCAAAAAAGGACTTGAAATAAATAGAAGTAGCTGAGTTGGAAGTCCACACACCCGCAGGCTGGCTCAGCTCGTGGAAAACCACTATGTCATGAGGGTCATTGAGGTGCTCGGCAAGACTGGTCACATCCTGTCCTGTGAGTCTGTTTGCACTGTAGACGGCCTCCTTCTCACGGTCCGTCCAGTACACGCGATCCTAAGAGACACACAACAGTCAACACAAGACTTTCACATGTCCTTAAGAAAAGAAAACTGCTAGGTGGTTGCTATTGTGTTCTGGGTGGTTTCTAAGGCAGTGCTATTGTGTTCTGGGTGGTTTAAGGGCATTTCTAGGTGGTACTGTAGCTAGGGAGTCTTAGGTGGTTTCTATGGTGTTGCTACGGTGTTCTGGGTTGTTTTAGGATATTTCTAGGTGGTACTGTAGCTAGGGAGTCTTCGGTGGTTTCTATGGTGTTTCTAAGGTGTTCTGGGTTGTTTTAGGATATTTCTAGGTGGTACTGTAGCTAGGGAGTCTTCGGTGGTTTCTATGGTGTTTCTAAGGTGTTCTGGGTTGTTTTAGGATATTTCTAGGTGGTACTGTAGCTAGGGAGTCTTCGGTGGTTTCTATGGTGTTTCTAAGGTGTTCTGGGTTGTTTTAGGAAATTTCTAGGTGGTACTGTAGCTGTTCTAGGTGGTTGCTAGTGTGTCTTAGTTGGTTTCAATGGTTTTGTTAAGGTGTTCTGGGTGATTTTAGAGCATTTCTAGGTGGTACTGTAGCTAGAGTGTTCTAGGTGGTTGCTAGGGTGTCTTAGATGGTTTCTATGGTTTTGCTAAGGTGTTCTGGGCGGTATTAGGGCATTTCTAGGTGGTGCTGTAGCTAAGGTGTTCAAAGTGGTTGCTAGGGTGTCTTAGGTGGTTTCTATGGTGTTGCTAAGGTGTTCTGGGCGGTTTAGGACTTTTCCTTGGTGATACTGTAGCTAGGGTGTTCTAGGTTATTGCTAGGGTGTTTTATGTGGTTTCTATGGTGTTGTTAGAGTGTTCTAAGTGGTTTTAGGGTATTTCTAAGTGAAACTGTAGGGTGTTGTAGGTAGGTGGTTGCTAGGATGTCTTAGGTGGTTTCTATGGTGTTGCTTGGGTGTTCTGGGTGGTTTTAGGGCATTTCTAGATGATAGCTAGGGTGTTGTGAAGAGTTGCTAGAGGATTGCTAGATGGATTCTATACTGTTATTGGAAGGTTTAGAGTTTTGCTTGGTGATCGCTAGGGTGTCCTGGGATGTTCTACGTCAGGGGTGGCCAACGTCAGTCCTGGAGAGTCATAGTCCTGCAGAGTTTTGCTCCAACCTTGATTAAATCTCAACTACCTATAGCTTTCTAGTAACACTTAGAACTTGATTAGGTGTGTTTGATTAGGGTTGGAACTGAGCTCTGCAGGACTGTGGCTCTCCAGGACTGAGCATTGAGCAAGTGGCACAGTAAAATGTTCAGTGGTCCATATAGTTGCTAGGGCGTTGCTAGGTTTTTGCTAACACATCCTAGGGCATTTCTAGGTGGCTGGGAGGGATAATCTGATTGCTTAAAGAGCACCTATTATGACAAGTCCCGCCCACGAATGGTGACGATCTGCCCTATTAGCATAGATCCCACCCTGAGTTGATTCTCAAAGATGGACCAATACCAACTGTTCGTTATCCAACTAGTGAATCTAACTTTATATTCAGGACCCGCAATTACCTCACTTTATTTTGTTAATGTGTGCAAATCACCTTTCTGAATGTGCTTGATAACTTAGCTCTTAGCTCATAGCTCTGGTCTCTGTGAATAGTCAGAGACAATGCTAACTTTAGCCACATTAGCTGTGCTGCATGCTAACAAGCACATTCAGAAAGGCGATTTGCAAACATTCACATAATATAGAAGTTGGTTCACAAACAGTTGTTATTGATCCATTTTTGAAAATTCTATTCGCTGTGCGACATTCTCCAGTTTTGTTGTTACTGGAGTATCCGAAGCATGAGCTATAAAAGCTCCGCTCTCTTCTGGAAGGGAGTGGGGAACATCAGCTCATTTGCATTTAAAGAGACACACACGCAAACAGTGTGTTTTTGCTCCTACCCAAAAATAGGCATAGTGTAATAAATTATCTGTGGGGTATTTTGAGCTGAAACTTCACAGACACATTCTTGGGACACCCGAGACTTAAATAACATCTTAGTAAAATGGGCATAATATGTCCCCTTTAAAAAGTTATCCTCTCTTCAAAACACATGACTTGAAATATACTATAGCACTGCAGTGGGGGACATGTTTATCATGCTAAAATTGGATATTTCAGGTAATGGGTTTGTCAAAATATTAAAGTACTTAACACAGTACTTCTGTGTACTTCTTACTCAGAAAATGAAGAGGTACAAAGCAAAGCATCTCTTTATCAATCTGCTTGCATCATAGATATTGAAGTTTGCTTGAAACAATGAAAATCAATTCAATAACGAGCATCCTGGGTAAAACAATAACTGCCTATTGCCTAGTCTCTCACAAGCAATTAAGCTGCCAAGAAAAAGTTCCACATTAAAAAGTCCCACATTGTTTTCTGTAGCAGAAGCTCTGTTACTAGGGTGAAATCCACAGCAGGATTCTTTGTCCAGCAAGACCTTTAATTCTGCGGCTGATGTGTAGGTGTGTAAAACTACAGCTCTTCAGCCTTCAGCCCTGCTCTGCTGTGAGAGGAAGTCAATCTTAGATTAGTGTGCTCACCACTACTTGAGCCGTGCTTGTGTGAAAATACTATAATCTTCTTTCTTCCTATCATAACTCTGCCCAGGACCCGTTCCTATGTTACCATGGAGACCGCTCAGCTTAAGCAGCAAAAACAATAAAGGGAATTGTCCCACATAAAATACAATACATCACTGAAGTAGGATGTTGAACATGAATAATTCTGAGCATGTTTCAGTTTTACATTTAAAGAGGCTTCAGAGACAGCTTCAATCAATTTCCACGGTCTTCCACAGCCCATAATAGCCACTCACCTACACACGGCATTTCTATAGATGTTTTAGTGAAAGATAATATATCGCCCAGGGCAACTATATTTCTGATATTTGTCTATTTTGAGACTAGTTGTACCTAATAAGCCTGCTGAGTCAATTAACAGTGAATTAATGGACATCTTTGCTGATCATATGTAATGTGAATGACAATAATTCATTAAGACAATATTTGGACATTTTGAGATGATCAAATTAGTCAGTCCCTCTTGCATCAGTTCCAAAATGTTTAAGTGACTAAATACACTACCATTCAAAAATGTGAAAGAAATTGATACTTCTATTCCACAAGGAATAGAAGGAATACAGTAAAACACTTATATTTCACTTTTATATTTCACAAGTACACTTTTGACCTTTCTATTCAACAAAAAATGTATTACAGTTTAGACAAATAAATATTAATCAGCACAACTTTTTTTAACATTGACAAAATAAGAAATGTTTCTTAAGCAGCAAATCAGCATATTAGAATGATTTCTGAAGAATCGTGGCACTGAAGACTGGAGTAATTCAGCTTTGCATCACAGGAATATTGTAATAATATTTCACAATATTACAGTTTTGCTTGCCTTAGTGAGCATAAGAGACTTTTTTTAAAAATCGTACTGACACCGAACATTTGAATGGTAGTGTACTAGACACACAATCCATTAAAAAGCTCAACCACCAGTAAATATTGTATAAATCTTTCCTTAGATTGCGTTATATAAATATCGGCATTATATTTGCTATCCTGATATTGCTATTTCCTATTGAAAAATCTATATATTTTTAAAGAATTCTAGTTGTTTTATGGTAAAAAATTTGGTTCTATATATATATATATATAAAACGCACCGATATATAGCACCATTGTGCTATGGGTGTCCCAAGTTTAAATCCCACCTCGAGGACCTTTATCCCACTTCCTGTCAGATCTAAACTGTCCTATCATAATAAAGTCAAAAATGCCAAAAATAAATCTTTAAAAAAAAGATTGGTTCTGAGCATTACTACAAATGTAATCTGACCTTAATATGCTTGATATAGCACTTGACTTAAAGCTGTAAGCCTGAAGGAAAAAATAGATCTGGACTACCTCACTGGCCAGAGTCCTGCAGCTCTGAAAATGCTGCTATATTAATAAATCACAAAGAGAACAGAAGAAAGACTTTAGTGCTAACTCGGCTGTAAGATACTGACCGCACACACACTCTTTTGCATACGCTCCAGTCGACCCAGTCTGTGTGTGAGCGATAGGACCAGAGCTTCTCAGCAGTGTGAGTGGGAGTTACTATTAAGTGCTGGACTGCTTTGGGCAGCAGTTAAATTCACAGTAATGAACTGATAAATACACACAAACAGACTAGCTGGTGTTAACCGCATGCATGTAAACACATACACATTGAGTTTATAAAGAAATAGAAGAAACTGAGACACACAGGTACAGTATTTAGGAGGCTCACTCACTTCGAACACAGCGAGGGCATACGGATGGCCGAGTCTCTCGCTGGAGGACAGGATGACTCTGCGATGTGCCCCGTTTAAATCCACGCTGCAGATCAGGTGCAGTTTTGAGTCCACCCAATATAAGCGCTTACCAACCACATCTGCATTCAGAGACACAACACTGCAGTCAAACAGTTCAGCCTTACTGATTCATAAAGAGTGCATAAAGCTCAACCGTTTTAGACTTTTTACAAGCCCGTCTCTACCTCTTTCCATAGAGCATAAATAACAGAAGGGAATAACCATTATAATTCCTACCGAGTGTGATTCCATTGGGCCACTCGATGTCCTCAGACACCAGCACCTGCCGATCTACACCATTCATGCCAGCCTTCTCGATCCTGGCCCTGGTGCCCCAGTCAGACCAGTACATGAACCTGTGAAAGCAAAGTTTAAACTTCCATGTAACACAAAACCTGGATCTGTATTTTTTTTAAATACATTAAAAATGCAATTCATACATACATGACCTGAATACACCTACAGCTACCATTTCTAAAAATTATAAAAACTAAAATTGATTTTGATATTTTTGATTTTGTATTGAAAATGTCAGGGTGGTACAACTGTCCTGATGACAAAAAAGAGAAAAGCTGCATGAAAATAATGTAATTCTTGTAAATATTAGTATCATAGCCATATTAAAGTCATGCAGAAAAATCATGAAAGAGGAAATTATGTGAAAGTAAGTATTTTACAATCAGATCATTTAAAGGGGTCATATGATGCGATTTCATTTTTTCCTTTCTCTTTGGAGTGTTACAAGCTCTTGGTGCATAAAGAAGATCTGTAAATTTGCAAAGACTAAAGTCTCAAATCCAAAGAGATATTCTTTATAAAAGTTACAAACGCGAGTTTTGAGCAGTGTAGAGTAACACTTGTTGTTTGTCATTTCTCCGATCACAAATGCAGACAGAGTTTTATGTTTACGCAGCACGATGCAATGCAACGTAACGCGTAAAAAGACATTATAAGTCATTATAATCAGTAATTATGTCCCCACTGGATGCAACAAATGCCTCGTTTGTAATGGGTTTTAATGTTTTTGTGTCGTCGCTCCGGCTGGAACATGCCATCACAATATGGTGAGGGGCGTAACATTTCTGTCTCATACCTGAGGTATTTGGCCAATCACAAAGCACAATGCACAGGATAGTTGGCCAATCACAGCACACCTCGCTTTTTCAGACCGATGAGCTTTGTAAAAATCGACGCGTTTCAAAAAGGCAAGGCATAGAGGAGAAACAATAATGTACAGTATGTGGAAAATAATGGTTTTTTTTACTTTAAACCGCATAAACACATTTCATTGCACCAAATACACAAAATAATGTTCTTTTTAGCAGCATCATATGACCCCTTTAACCCTCAATCGTCATTCAGGACAAATTTAGGCTAAATCTTTCTTTTTTTTTTTTTTAAATAGTTTCCTTAATCGGTTCAAGACTTGGCTACTTTTCATAAGTTTGCCACCTGAACACACACAAAAAAAGAGGACTCGATTCAACAAAGTTAAGTGGTTGAAAAAAAAAAAAAAAAAAAACTCCTTCATTTGTCATTCGTGGGCACCCATAGGAAATGAATGGGAAATACTAAAATTCAAAGCATTTTTTTATTTGTCCAATAAAAATCAATAAATCCAACACAATGCAGATCGAACATACACATAAATGAAGGGGTGAGTCTATACAACATTCAAATATGTGGCAAACACTCACACTCACTCACACACACAAACACACACACCAACACACACAAACGCACAAACCCATTTACAAACCATTTAATGAGCCTATAACACAGCAAGTTTTTTATTTTTTACTTTGTTGAATAAAAACAGTCACTCACACATACAAAACCAAAGAATTAAATGAGCTAATGACTGAGCTTTATGTTTTTTGTTTGTGCCACTCAGCCACTGTGTGTGTCCACGAATGACAAGTTAAGGGCTGCTATACGAAGGATGCTTGAGGGTTAATTTAATAATTTTCAATTGTTTTTATTTATTTTATGTTTTCCATTTTCATTACAATTTTAGCGTAAGTTTTAATTTTATGTGCTTTTGTCGTTTTTATAATTTTTTCTATTTCTATTTATTTGTAATTATTCTGTGTTGCAGTTTTAGCAATTTTAGTACTTTAAAAACTTTATTTCAGTTAGTCGATAAGGCAACATACCTTATTTTTATTATTATTATCATTTTAGTTAACAAAAGCAACACTTAATGTCATGGGGTGTGATTCTCTAAAAACTTAATGATATTGTGAAATGTTAAAGTATGAAAAATGTGAAAATATGTTACCTTTCATTTTATGGATATACATCACATTTTTAGAGTCTACATGTTTTTCAAAACTAGACGAAACTAACATGAATACAAATACACATTTCTAACTTGGAATATTAGTTTTAAACTAGATTTTTAAACTTTCTCTTTTCTACTGTTGAGACTTGCCAATGACAAAGGTCTTAGTTATCTGAAGACCAGAGCAGACCTAAATTACGTATTCAAATAGTTTTGTGCATCAACAAGAGAACCATTTTGTGGCATTCACTATTGTGAGCAAACAACATCATGCTTGAAACCATTTATACGAGCAGTAAGGTTATCTCTATGGTTAAATAGAATTCTAATAACATTTCCTCTGTAATACTCCACAGCCTCCATGTGCATGTCACTGAAAGCATCTCTTATCATCGCAGTGACCTTTAAATGCAGTCTGGCCTTTTGTGGTTTTGTCATTTGGCTGGCAGTGCTGGGATGGGATGTGTCTGATAGCTGCTCACCCTCTCTTTGGATCCACAGCGATGGCCCGTGGTTCGCTCAGATCGGTGCTGATCAGCACGCGTCTCCTGCTGCCATCCGCTGAAGCCACAGAGATGGTTCTGTCGCCCGAGTCGGTCCAGTAGAGGTTGTGCTGGACCCAGTCCAGTGCCAGACCCTCAGGGGAATGCAGATCAGAGTCGATCAGAGTAACGTGTCGAGACGGGTCGCTCGCCTCGTGGATGTAAGCACTGCAGAGACATGCAGACAATTAAGAGGTTCTGCTACTAGACGCCGAGTCCAACAGTCAAACCACACGACTTCAGTTGTGATTGTTTTATAGATAATGATAGAATGAGGAAAAATTATTTGCCCACAAACTGCATCCATTGACACTTATTTTGTAAAACCACTAACAGCCAAAAATACTGTCAATAAATGTAATGTCCACTGATGCGAGCTTGACTAACGTGACCTGCCAGAACTAACGCTACGCTTGATGTATATAGTTAATCCTGAACCTACCCCTAAACCTTACCTTAAACTTATATTGCCAGGACTTTCTTAGGTAAGTACATTGTAAGTGCGAGTAAGTATATATACTGTAAAATAAAGTGCAACCAAAATAATAATATTTATTATATCAGTATTGTAAAAAAAAGATAACAAATGGTACATCACAAAAAATGCATAAAAATATGCATAAATTCTATTCATTAACAGTGCATCATACAATCATGTTACATTTGTTCAAATGTTTATAGCTTTTGTCATTTTTATTTTTATCACATAAATGTGTTTTAAAACAAGGTGTTTTAACTTGTACATTACATTGTGGGGTCTGTAAGATTTTATTTATTTAAAGAAATTAATGCTTTTATTCATAATTGATGCATTAAATTGATCCAAAGTGACAGGTAAGACATTTATTATGTAGAAAAAAATTCTACTTCAAATAAATGCTGTTCTTTTGAACTTGTTACTCATCAAAAAATCCTTTAAAAGTATCACAGTTTACACACACACATAAATAAGCAAGCAACATTTGTAATCAGAAATGTTTCTTGAGAAGAACTCAGCATATCATAATTATTTCTGCCATATAAATTACGATGCACTTTCAGTGGTGCTCCAGCAACTTCTGCAACCTATTTGATTCTGGCAATTTAGCATGTTGCTATGTAGTCGCTAAAATTCCTGAGTGATTTCTTACTGGACCAAGTCAAAAGAGCCACCCCCCACCCCCCAAAAGAAAATATTAATACACCTGTCCTCAATAAACAACATGATTTGATATATCATGAACACTAAGTATGAGTAATAATGAATGAGATATTGCAGAAGACAGAGCTGGGTAGTAATTGATTACATGTAATCAGAATCCAAAAATTAAGTACTTGTAATTAGATTCAATTACATTTTAAAATACTTGTTATCAGACTACAGTTACTTTTAATGAATTTAGGGCTGTCGCGATTCGTCAATTTTATTCGACTATTCGATTTTTAAAA